TGACTTTAATAACATTTCTTACTTAATGGAAACACTGCAGTTGTGAAACTGTTTTTTCAACATTAACAGAATATCAACAAAGTTTTGCACATTTGTAAAGGAAACGCAGCTTGTGTCTCAGTCCAGTCCAGTAAATGAGCCCACCTGTCCGTCTCACCTGAATGAAAGGAGCCRATGAAGCTCACCAGGAAGCCGGCAGTGTGGTACAGCGGCAGGTTGGCGTACATCACGTCCTCTGATGTCACCCCGTACGTAGATAAAACCGCCATAATTGTCAGGAGCCGTTTCTGGGTGATCACAGCTGCTTTAGGAAGACCTGAAACACAACAAGACCCTCATCAGGATCAGGTCTGAAGGTCTAAAGGACTAAACTAAAACCCAGCTCAGCCTCTCCGGTACCGGTGGTCCCAGACGTGTAGCTGTAGACAGCTGGACTTTTTAATGTGATGTGAGATCTGAGGGACCGAGGGATCGGAGCGTCGGAAGCCTCTTCGATCTGATCCCAGAAGCTCTGGATCCCTGCTGTGTCCGAGTCTTTGGACATCAGGAGGACCAGGACTCCCTGGTCCAGCAGAGACGGCAGGACGTCCTTCACTGCCTCCTTCAGTTCTGCAACCAGAGGGATGCTGCAGTTAGCTAAAGCACAAAAAATCTGACAGCTAGAGGACAGCTGAGATTAGCTTAAGAAGCTAAAACTGACTTGTTAAAGCTAAAAGATGCAGAACACTAGCTAAAAGCTAAGAGAAGCAGAACGCTAACCAACAGCCAAAAGTAGAAAAACCTCAGCTTAAAATTACAGTTAGCTAGGAGCAAAACTTGGCAGAAAGCTTAAAGCTACATGCAACAAATTGGTAGCTAAAAGTAGCATAAAGCTATCTAAAAGCTAGTCTTGACTAAATGGTAGCTAAAAGCTAAAAACACAAAAGGCTAGATAAAATACCAAAACACAAACTAAAAGAAACTGTAGCTAAAAGTAGTAAAAGGCTAACAAAAGCTAAATGTAGCAAGGTAGTAGCCAAATGTAAACTGTAGCTAAAAGTATAAAAATTGTAGCTAAAATGGTACCTAAAATCAGTAAATGGTTAACTCAAGCTAAATGTAGCAAAATAGTAGCTAAAGGTAGAAAATGGTAACTTAGTCACAAGCATCTAKATAAAAGTAGGAAAAGGCTAGAATAAAGCTATTAACTTTTATTATGCAGCATTATTCTTTTAGCTAGCTAAATGAATAATGTTGCATAATAATAGCTAAAAATATCCCCGTCACAGCGAAAAGTACATGAACGGTAGCTAAACGTAGCAAAATAATAGCTAAAAGTACAAAAATCGTAACTGAAAGTAGCAAAGTTGTAGCCATAAGTAATAAAAATCTAGCTAAAAGCAGCAACATGATAGCTCAAAGTAACAAAATAGTAGCTAAAAAGCAAGAAATTTCTAACAAAAATAATGTAGCAAAATAGTAGCTAAACTTAGAAAACGGTAACTTAGTCACAAGCATCTAGATAAAAGTAGGAAAAGGCTAGCTAAAATAAAAATTTGCATAATAGCTAAAAGCAGCCCCTTCACAGCTAAAAGTAGATTAATTGTAGCTAAAAGAAGGAAAACAATAGCTAAAAGTACAAAAATTGTAAATGAAAGTAGTTGTAGCTAAAAGTACTAAAATTGTAGCTAAAAGCAGCAACATGATAGCTCAAAGTAGCAAAATAGTAGCTAAAAGCAAGAAATTTCTAACAAAAGCTAAATGTACCAAATATTAGCGAAAGTTAGAAAATGAAAGCTAAACCTTAAAGTCACAAATGTTTAAATAAAAGTAGCTAACTTAAGTAAAATGATAGCCAAGTTCCAAAATTGTAGTGAAAAGTAGTGAAAAAATAGCTAAAAGCAGTCAAGAGTTAACACAAGCAACATAGTAGCTAAAGGTAGACAATAGTAGCTAAATCTAAAAATCAAAAAAGTCCAAATAAAAGTAGCAAAAAAATAACTAAAGACAAACTGTAGCCAAATGACAGATAAAAGTTACAAAACCATAGCTAAAATGAACACAGTGGCAGCTAAAAGCTAAAGTAAGACAAGGCAGTAGCTGAAGCAGACTGTGAAGAGGACAGAGTTTAGAAAGTTGTTTATAAAATGCATCTTAGGTCACTAAGATGCATTTTATAAAACATCATCAAACATCAGCTGAAGGTTTAGCTGCAGAACCTGCAGAAGAAGTGAAAGCAGCTAAAGAAGACTCTTGCCTTCRGCTGCTATGAGCACAGACGCCTGGCAGCAGCTGAAGCTGTGCAGCAGGGATCTTTTCCGGATGTTGGAGTTCAGCAGGGCGACAGGAGAGCCCAGTTTGGCCAAAGCCAGCCAGGTGAACAGGAAGGCGGGTTCGTTCCCCATGAACAGAGCCACGGTGTCCCCGGGTCGGAACCCGGACTGGGTCTGCAGGGCCCGGGACACCTTGTTGCTCCTCCTGTCCGTCTCGGAGAAAGAGAAACTTTCTTCTCTGAACACGATGAAGGGTTTGTGAGGAAACGCCGCGCTTTGCTCCAAGAACCGATCCAGGACGAAGAAGGGGGGTCTCCTCCTACTCCATCTCGTGTTCGAGACCAGAATCCCCAACAAATCCCGCATATAGACCAGGTCCATCCACAGGAGGGGGGACAGGGTCCTGAGGAGGAGTGGGAGGATGAAGATGCTGCCTAAAAGAATAGAAATCAAAAATAAAGCCATGTTCAGACGTCAGCTCAAAGTGTGCTTCTGCTGCAAAAACAGAGAGAAACACTTAAAGCAGAGGGCGGCTCGAGTCCCGCCCAAGTCCCGGCCCGAGTCCCGCCCAAGTCCCGGCCCGAGTCCCGGCCCAAGTCCTGGCCCGAGTCCCGCCCAAGTCCCGGCCCGAGCTGCAGTCACAACAATTCAATATGAGCTGCAGATTTATGTATATTTAAGGGGCGCCAGCAGGGAGGGGGCATGAATCCCCCCCCCCACCCCCCCAGTACCCATGCCACGGTCATTAATGACGTATTTCCGGTAAAATTCTTGCCACACTCCTCCCTTCCACTCCCTACTTATTGCCTATGCTTTTAGCATTAGCTGCTAGTACAATCCGTGAAAAAGTCACAAAAGTTAAAGCATCTGTGATCTACTGGTATAAAAAGTGAGTTCTGTTGTGTGTCCACTAACCAGCAGGTACGACAGAGTAGTTAGTTTTTATCTATTTTCCTTTAGACGAGGAGATGACAGCAGGGGATCATAGCATTACAGAGATTACAGCATCAGAAATGCGGAGACGGAGGTTACAAAAGTGAAATATACATTTATCCCCTTCTACTGCCAAGACGAGAGAGGAAAGACCACCTCACAGCTAGCAGGAAACTAACACACAGCAGCCGGTACAAAGGTAGGTGTGTGTGCACGCAGTGTAGACTAAAGCTGAGTGATGAGCGCGCCCTCCTCCCCCCGAGCACCGAGAGCAGCAGAACCTCTGCCTGATAATCATTACGTTTTCAGTTCACTAACGTCGGGGAAAACAATCCAAACCATTCAAGTATCCCATCAATTTAAAGCCCAGACTCTGCTCTTTCCAACAATATAAGTGTCACAGCTCTACGTGAAAAATTCACAGAACAAGCAGCCAAGGAATAGTGAAAAAGGCTCAATTCTGGAACCATAAACACAAAAGTCTTTCCTTTGTTTTTATGGCTTTAATCCTCTGGAGTGATTTTTTTCCACTTGGCTGGACCTGTACATCTCCTGTGTTAATGTTGGTACATGTAATCAAGGGCGTAACTTTCTGAAGGACTGTTGTGGACATGTCCCCACCAACTTTGGCCAGACAGGGACAGTCCCCACCAATATTCACACATCTTTTTTCCTTTGCGTGCATCTACATTTCCCGACAGTAGGCAGCAGCAACTGCTCTGTCTACCTTTTTCTGGGAAAATAAAAATAAAAAAGTAGCTACGCTGCGCCGCTTCCTCCCTTCCGCCCCCTCCCCTCTCCTGCTAGTGCTCCTCATCCCATACAGGAGCGCTACTGCGAGCCTGGGACACCCTCACCATCTCCCTTCCTTTTCTCTGAAGTGCAGACTCACGCGTGCTACCTGCCTGCTGTAAAACAACGTGGTGGTCAGATCTTCAGAGCTACTGGAACAGGTAATGGTCTGATAATATCCAGCTCTTGGAAAAATATTATTCTTTACAAAGGACCAAAAATAAGTCAAACTTTAGGACAGGACAGTTATTTTTCTTAGGAAACATTAGCTTGCTGCCAGTTATCTATCAGCTAATGTTAGCATTCATTTACTGATGACATTATCTATTATTGAGGTTTTTTTAAATCAGTTAAACTGTATTCAATGCTAAGATTGAGTCCAGGTCCACTCTGTTGATAATTATTGAATACCTGTTATAATTTACATTCATAAATCACAGATTATTTCTCTAATTTAATCTGCTAGCTTCATAATTTACATGTTATGTATTTGAATTTTTAAAGCTGACTCAATTCAGGTGGCAGTAAAAACATAATAATCTATCTGTTGAT